GATTGTCCTGCTGAGTATTTGACAAGCTTTAAGAACTGCCACAGATTAATACAATTAGCAATAGAAAGGAGTATCAAGTATTTGGGGATAACTTCTTAAAGTCACACTTGCCCTTTTACAGATGCACAGCAAACGTCTGCTTACATGGTGCCTAAAGATTAATATACAAAGGGAAAACATTGCAAAGGAAATGAACCACAAGGATTAACAAAACAGCAGTTGGCTGTTCTTGGACCTCCACAAAAACCCACCAACTTCTGTTAGCTTTGTTTTACATAAATTAATTACAATCATGTACATGATACTGAAATAGGGAAAAGCACTTGTGGAACTGTAAAATAGTTTACAAGCAGAATAAATATATATATAAAATACAGCATTATGCACAATTTGCAAGATTTCAGATTACTCAGCTGTACCTACGATGTCCTGTCCAGAACAAGCTCCCCGAGGGGTGGTGGAAGCTGTGTTCATTCCTTAGCCCCTAACCGCCCGGTGGGGCAGCAGCTGTCCTGCCCCTGCCCCACGGCCCCTTACCTGCGCTCGCTCACAACAATCATACGTGCTAGGAGGTGTGGGGCTGTTTCTGCATGGGGAGGGATTCTGATCTGCAGGATCACATCCGCTGTCACATCCCGAAAGCATACTGGCACTTTCCCGGAGGTGCAGGACACTCCACAGCAGGGAGGGGAGAAGACCCACAGCAAGGCGGCACCCACCAGAACGGCCGTTTCCTCTGGGGTGGCCTGTGGCTTCACAGCAGCTCTCACTCTGCTAATTGCAATTAATGGAGGTGCAGCAGCAGCACAGACCTTTAGTTCACCGTTGGACAGACCCAAACCTTATGGGCTTACTAGCTCAGCTTTGCATTCCCAAGGCTTGCTCTGTCCAATGGAGTAATTTTGATCCACTCAAAAAAAAAACCCAAACAAAACAAACTAAAAAACCTGTCCACGTTCTCCTTTGTAAAGACATGAATGAGAACAATCTGCAAGTTCATGCTGTATTTAGTAGTTCTGAAAATAAAAAAAAGCAACGAAAAAGTGTAATCTATACTAGCATCAATTACAGCTTTTTGGGCAAAGTAGTCTTTCATGGCAATGCAAAGTTACTGGTACAAATTACGTCCCAAAATTTTATCTACTAATGCATCCAAAATGCAGTCATCACAGCTTGATCTATAATGCCTCTTCCCCCCCCTCCCCCAAAAGATATTACTTATTTTGGGAATAGTTAGCTTCCTTTTAGAAATGCTTTATAAATACCATTTTTTATATGAAGAATGCCATTTCAGGTAAATTGAAGAATTTTCATTTATAAATTAAAGTGAAATCCACTTTTTCATCTTAAAACTGTTCACTGTATGAAAATCAATTTGTGAATAATTTCAGTGTGTCCAAAACAACTATTTTCTTACAAGAGTCTCCCTGCAGAGAAACCTTACCACAGGTTGTGGCAGCAACCTATTTTCCAGCAGGTTCGCACGACTACAGTATTCAAACCTACATACTGGTATTAGCTGCTGTTGTCACTGGACACGGTATACTGAAAAGTTTCACCATTATGGAAAAAAGTAGGAGACACTTGGGAGTAATCAACCGCTTCTTGCTATACTAAATGGTATATTGCTATAATAGTAACTTGTGGTGATATTTAATGACAAAAAAATACCTTTATATTAAGCAAGCCATGGACAAAGAGGGAAAAGAAGTCTCACTTACAGGCTTGTTTCAAGCAAGACATGAAGTTATCCTCTTAAAGACAACTCCACAGAAAATCCTTAAAAGATATATAAAAAAATTAAAAGCCTTCCATGCTTCTCAGTTCAGCAAATCTACTCAAGGATAAGATACTCAAATAGAAAATGAAAACCACAAAAGCAATTTCCAACTAGGAAAGGACCCATCAGTGCTCCTGATGATGCTAGGAAGTCCCGGCAGGCAAAGACTGCACCGGGACGGAGGCCAGATTCCAGTTGTGAAGCTTGTTCGTGTCCTCCCCACACAGACCACGCGGGAACTTCCAGCGCTGCGAGTTCAAGATCGTCGCTGAAGCTTTTGCATGACCAATTCACCTACACATTTCAATCTGCGTGTGGACTTTCAGACCTTGGGATAAGAAAGTGCCACACTGAAATAACAGTTAATCCAGACTTGCAGAATTTTCTATTCCATTTTGGCAGACCTGTTATTAAAAAGGCAAATGGAGGAGTTCAGAAAAAAGGTCAAATCATACAAAGCCTGAAGAAAGGGAATCAAAGCTCCTAAGTTAGGTATATGTAGTTTGCCCTAGAGAGAGGAAGCCAGAGAAATGCAGGTGTCAATGAAGCGAAAAGCACAGACACAGAAAAAGCTCAGAATGGCATTTACAGATTCACACACAGAGACATCATCCACGGGTTGCAAGGACACCATAAAAAGGGAATTAAAGGAGAACAGCAGTAAGCTTCCTCTGAGGAGGCTACTGCTCCTCTATGGAACAATCTCTCATGCGGTGTTAAGAATGCCGACAAGGTGCACCGAGGGAGGGCTCCCTGTGAGGGGCGGAAGGGCAAGGGAGGCGGTTGGCGGTGACCGGGGTACCTCTCCCACCTGCACACCAGCTACCGAGGACAGGCTCACACCCCGCTCTCCGCGCACCTCGCTCTGGACACATGTCTGGAGGTACGCTTTCGAAAAACAGCAGGGTCTGTATATAATCGTGCAAATCATACAAAAAATAAACATAGGTTAAGAGATTAGGAAAATTTACTTTCCTCTGTCTCCCTGAATGACTGCTGCTGTACAAGGGTATTGCTTTTGATTCACAAATTTGCCAGTTTACAGCTTTTCCACTGCATGTTATCTAATGACCAAATGACTAACTTGCAGGAAAGAAACTAATTCCCAAACCAAACAGATGGGAAAGGCCACTTGATGACAAATCCATACAATTTTTCACTTCTAGAAAACTAACAAAGCTGGAGCAAGTGATTTACCTTCTGTGCTGGGTACAGTTAGCTAAGGAACAGAAACAAACACGAAGAATTAGCCATGGAATTTACCACTACGGTGTCAGGTTTCCCTAGATTCAGAATAGGAACTAGTCTAGTAGTTGGTGATAACGTTTCATTAGCAGCTACCTTTCTCTCTTATTTCAGCAGTTTTGAACAGCTAAAGATTTAGACTATTAAAAAAATGTAAACATTACAGAATCTTCCTTTAACTAGTTTCTCTACCATATCTTAAAAAGTGAACTAACAGAAGGGCTTAAGTCAAAGGGAGATGAGGTGTATGATTTTAATAAACATTTTTCTTATTAAAATCTTGATATAGTTTAAATATACCATACAGAGGAAAAAAAGCTATTTATAAAGCTACATACACATTTCAAGTCAATGACGACAGCATAAATCATTCTAGATTCCCTCTCCACTTATCAGAATGCCTCATGTGTGTATATATGGTGAGCTACTGTGAGTTATCTGCATAATTTTTGTCTAGCTATACATTACAGGACTTAAAAAATGTTTAAGCTATATACAGAAATATATATACATATAACATATATTTATATGTTATACATACACATACACTTATATACATATACACACAATACATATATATATATATATACACACAGTACTTTACATTTATATATGGTCTTTCATCCAAGGGCCTTGGATACTTTTTAATACATCAAGTCTCACAAAGCTTTGTGAGGGAGGGAGCTTTATTTTACAGACTGTAGATTTGATGCCTATTCTAAACAGTTTCTTTTGTTGCTTTCTACTAACTTTACACATTTCAGTTAGAGGCGTTTTTGGTAATGGAAATAATTACACCCATCAGAAATCCAGGCATAAGGTGTATGTTGCTTTGTACCTTTGTAACTATCCTCCTTAGTATATGAGGGACAGCCGTACCGGTATAAATTTGCTCTATGCTAACACACCTATATCTAGACTTGTGTAGCTGTACTGCTTTTTATTTTTAATTGATACTAGCATAGTAAAATCTGATGCAGGTTTGAACTTAAGACACATGGAGGTCACAACAGGAAATCCAGAATAGACTCCAATCCTCATACATTGAAACTGTCCTTTTCTGGGATGATTATTTTAGGAAGTATTAGTACACATAGAATTATTTCTACATGTGTTTACTTGATTTATCTGCAGTTTAACTACACAAGCCTGAAACAGTCAGCCTTATTTAGAAAACAGGATTTTCAGCATCAATTTGGCAACTGGTGATCAGAATTTCTGATCTCAACGGTCCTCCATACCTCTAGCAACTAAATAAATTATGAAAACAGAGGCTTTTTTGAAAATCACAGATGTAGGTAACTTCTGGCCATCCTCCACTAGCTGACAGAAAGGAAAACCTGGTAGAGCTCTGGCAAAGCTGAATTCTACTCAGATTTTCACGGAACATTAGTTTAGCTCTTCCCCAGAAAAAGAAGAAGAAAAAAGTATCATTAACATGGATTCATGGGGTTGGAGAAGCAAGAAAGAGGGAGAACATCACCACCACAAAAGCTCTTAACCTTCAATACTTCAGTCTGCTAAGGTTTCAGAAATTTGTTTTGACACAGAAAAAGTAGCTCCTTCCTTTAATTAATCGCTTCCTAACTCTCAAAAATCTCTCAAGCATTAGGGAAAACAAGTCCTAGGTTATGGTTGAAGACTGCCCTCCCCAAAAGCAACCAACCACTTCAAAAGTGAACATACAGTAGAACCCACTACAATGCAGTTTGAGAATTTTATTCTAACCTGATTACCTTGAGATTTTTCAGAACAAGCCACTTTCCCTTCAACTAATTCTGTAAAAAGAAGGGGCTGCCTGGCCTGTTTCATTCAGGATTCTCTGCTAACTGTAAAATGTGGGCTGAATATCTTCTGCAGGTCAACTTTTCAGTTACAAAATTCAGATTTTTAATGAACAATTATGTTTACTGTATGCTGGTAGCTGAAGTATAAATGGCTAAATAAATAAAAACTATTGTTTCTTCAGTATGACTTGGTATTTTGTCTGTAATTTCTTTATTAAAAAACTGTAACAAGATACTTAAAAAAAGGCTAGATACAAAAGAAGTTAAGCTGCTCACGAACATTAAAGTTTTCCAAAATGTATCTTCAATAATCATGATCTTATAAACATTTTACAGTTACCAGAAAGTGCCCAGGCTGAGTTTACATAGTTAGATACGTAGTACAAGTGTCGGGTTAGAACTGGTTGTGTGGAACAATCTCCTGACTGTCTGTTCACTCAAACAGGGATACAAAAATGTTGATAGTGAACTATGAAATACTGTGCATTGGCCTCATCATATGTACAAAAAACCCAACCCACTAAAGGTACAGATTACATGCAAAATATTAGTGATGGTATCTGATGCGCCAGAGTTCAATGCAATCAGAACAAAAATTGCAATGAAAGTGGTTTCATAAGCGAACAATCCCAACTCTGGGATCTTAGCTGTCAGGAACTTTTTACAAGTTCAATATACATGATACACAACTGCAGCCAACCACAAATTAAACACCATAAAAAAAGTTAAAATAAAACACAGAACATACTTAATTTTTTATTTTGAAATTACCTACTCCCTCTATACAAGAACCTTTGCTGAAACACTTTCCACAAAGGCAGCAGTGAATTTTCAGAACATTTTACATATTTTCCCTCAGCAAAAAGATAAATCACAGTGTAAATTATATTGTTCTGCTGTCATCTTTGGCTGGGGTTAGGCAAAGGAGTTATTGACTAGCAAACTGTTGCAATCAGATATTGCCAGTGCTCCTTTGGCCTTTACGTTACAAATTTAGTACAGGAATGTTTGCATTTAAATCTTTAAAGTACCACCAGGGGTATGACAGCATTAACTTTCATAAACTTTTATAGACAAATGGAAAAATCTACAAAACTTAGCTAGTAATATTACACAGCAATACACACTTTTTATACTCTACACAAAACCAAAATTCTTGGTCTTAATGGCGAGTAATAATTTCTGTTTCAAAATCTGCTTAGAGGAATAGAGTGGAACATAAAGGCGAGAAATGCAAGTGTTTGCTGTAGGAAGATGTTGGTCATCTGGTGGTCTTATTGTGATTGATGGCATAGGCTGGAACCCCTCCTCACTGGCAGGCAATGATGGACTTGAGGTCCAAAAGTAAACCTGAAAAAAGAAGACAGCATTTAAAATTTTGCTGTACAAGGCTAAAATCCATATTGCTTACATGTTGTGTGGGGATAGGTTAAAGAAGAACTGCACAGTAACAGCAAGTTTGATCATACTATGTTCTGCTCCATATGCCAACTAAACTCAGTGGTCATGCTACATGCTTTTGTAGTAGCTTCTTCCTTCACTTCCTTTCCTCAACTGCTCATTATACACTTCTTTTAAAACTGATAAAAGCAGCACTCAAAATTATCCTGTATCAACAAATCCTCAGTAAATGAAACATCCTCAAATTCATCTGGGAAGATGGTGACTGTCATCAATACAAAATGCATCAGAAACCTCTCACAAACCAGTTAGTGACTACAGAATATAGTACTCATACAGACAAAAGGCAGCAACAGAGAATATTTGGTTTGTTGTCTCGAGTGTGAAATACTGACTTGCAGATCAGAGTCACTACCAAAGTGTAACCATACATATTCCTTAACAAATGTGCTCTAGATTTTCTGTTTTTCAGGTAAGTCCTTGTTTCCTTTTAGCAAACTGTAAAGGAAAGATAGTACCTTAAGTAGTAGGAAGTTAAAAGAAGTGTACAGTGAATACAATTTACAGGCAAGTTTTCCAAAATGAAACCCCCTTGTTTTTCTTGTTCGTTCATGCTTCTCATCAGCTATTTCACAAGGGCCCTCAGGATACGCAGAAGTCAGGCGAGTAGATGATCCAGGAAGATCAAAACTCTACTAGCCCACAACACCGTTGACTAACCACAGTTACTCAGCTTAAGAACGACTGTGCAGAGACTGTAACTGTGCTTCGATAAGAGATCTGTGAATATGGATAAGGACACACCACACCTACTTTCAGTTGCAAGAAGGTCTAGGATTCACACCTGATGTTCCCAGAACTGAAAGTCTAATCAAACCCTACCACCCTGCTCTGCTACCTTAACTCTTCACATACAAAGTCTCTGCAGGTAGACACAGTTAAAAACAGTAATGATGGCAAAGTTATTGCAGTTGTTCTGCACATTCCCACTGGGAATGGACAACTTACTAGATCTTGTCGTTCTGTCATACTCATCTTCTCAACTATGGACCAAAACCAACGCTTGAATTGCAAAAGCTTCTCAGCATTTTCTCCTGTGTGAAATAAAAAAGAGATATAATTCAGGTGATACACTGGATAATAAATATTAAGAGATCTGTTTTATATGTACTGCAAGTTGGATCTCAGCTACAATCTCATTCATAAAGTCCTGATATTGAAGACACCAGTAATTTCGAAACTAATACACATACTTTTGAATGTAAAGGCTAACTCTGACATATCTCCGTACAACTCCCACCCCCTCCCCGCCCAAAAAGCTAAAACCAGCTAAATATAGTTTAAAAATTATGTAAGAAATATTAGACTGCATATAGTTCTAAAGTTAGGTCAGAACTTTCAGAAGGAAAGATACACTACCTACCAATAATACAGTCCTTGTTTTTAACATTAAGTGATAGCAAAGATGAAAGAAATGTGCTTTCCCCCCCCTAAGTGAAGGTACGTATTTTCAAAGGTATGTAAAAAAAACAGTAATAATTTTATTAGGACTTTCAGTGACTTAACTGATGTAAAATTTGAAGAGGTAGTTCAGTGTAACTTTAATGCTGGTAACTCTACTCCACACAGAATGAAGAGTGTTAAGTTATCCCTGCAGCTCTGTTTCTGAATGAGGAAGTTATTTCATACCTGACTCATCATTGAAAGAGGTAAAGCTGATTAGCATTTGCACATTTACTTCACCACAGCCATTTACTAAAAGTCTGAAGTCTTCTGCTGTCAGATCTTCTAATGAATTCTTTGGAAGTACATCCAGGAGACCCTTCCTCATTGCCTGAAGTGAAAACCACAAGATCCACATTATAGCCTATCACTTTCAGATTGACATTAAATGCATTACTGAAGAGTTCCATGTGAAATTCCCTATTAACTCAAAATTCATTATTCTCCTAGCTGTTCTTTTCTTTCAAAGTTTTACCATCTGAGATGCAAATTTTCTGAAACAAAGAACTCCACCAATCTGTTAAACCCTACCTACTATTGCAAAAGAAAGTAGTAACAGTTTAAACTAGTATTTCACCAGTAGCAGAAGCAAATGCACTCTCCGACACTAAAAAGTTCAGGTATTTTGCTGAGCTATGCTGAATCTGATGAGAATGATGAGAAATGCATCTTGCATGTTACTTTCCTTTTGCTTCCTTAGCCATTCACATGCCACCTCTGCTTTAAAAATGTTACACACACACACATATATTTCACATAAATAAGTAACATCCTGAAAAGACTGGAAATTCCATTTTCAAAATGGAAGAATATGAATAAATTTGTTTTAGTAAATTCCAAAAATCAATACAAATGTTATGGTTTTCAACTCTTAAAATAAACAAGAGTCAAACTATCAATATAGGCAGACATGGAGCTCAAGTAGCTTAATTCCAGGAACATGTTCTTTCTGTGAGAATTTTGGACCTAAACTGCACAGAGGTAATCTAGCAGTTTGCTAGCCTATTTCAGAAGTGCAGCAAGAAACCACAACCAGCAGAAATGACCGAGTTTAGATGTAGTATGATGCAACGGAGAGTAAGTGGTTCTAAGTACTGGACCTTCATTGGTCATTTACAAAAATCTATTATTCCATAATTTTTATTTAAAAAGGGCTTAAAAAAATTATTTTTAATATAGTTTTATAGTCAATTGTTACATTTCTTGACAGGCTAGTAAAATAAGAACAAAGTTGTATGTTTCATAACTTGTTTTGTGTCCTTGTTTTAAAACAAGGTTTAAGTCAGAAGTTCAAGGCGATTTACATAAATATTTTGAAATTTCTTTTTAATCTTTGTTTTTAAGGCTAAACAAATCAAAGGTGACAGATTATTAGAACAAAGTGGCTGCTAAATACAAAGCAAAGATTCCAAGAGGATATGTGTCATTTGAGCTCAAGAAATGAACCTATATGCTTAACCAACAAGATCAAGTTTAAAAGAAATTATCTTTCATTCTATAAAAAAAAAGATAAATTGCTCAAAGTACTCAGTCTTCATACTACTGCATAAACAGCTATACAATTACCAAAAAATTAGAAAAGTAAATATTTTTAATCAAGCTGTCAAGACTTCAAAAAAAACTGATTAGCAATACCATAAATGAAGAAAAGAATTAACTGACTGAAATCTTACAGAAAAAAAAAAAACACTCCACCAAAGACTTACATGTAGAGGCTGTTCTGCTACTACCAACATTCGGTGTTCTGCGTATTTCCGGACATACTCATATACATTCTGAGGGGTGACTGGTATATTTACACCATTGGAAATAAGTTCAACCTATGGCAAAGTAACAAGGACCATTTAAGAAGAAAAAAAAAAAAAAAAAAAAGGAAAAAAGGAAATGAGATTATTACAACAGCCACAGTATGCTGCACAGTGATTTATTGCTTAATATCCCCTTAAAACCAGGCAAAATTTACTACTACGGGTTAGATTTAAAGATTCCCTAGGACTGACAATGCTATCCAGGCTTTATGGTAGGTTCTACATCATCTTCAAGGAAAAAAAAACAGACTTCAGAGTCTAAGGAGAACACTGTATTTGAATCTAGGAAGGGTAAAACATGATCTCTGCCATCTGAGAAGAGCATGGATTACGTGTACGCTACAACATGCATAAGCTGCTGAATTCTGAAACTACAGAGATACACGTTTAGTTGTGCTTACCTGCCCTCCACCCTCCTCCTTACACAGGTCTATTGCGAATGCTAAGTCCATTGCTGCAAACACTGCATCAGCATCTGTACTCTGGGAAGCGAGGATAAGTTGTCGAAGGCTTTCATACATAACCGGATCGAAAAAAGCAAAGTCATGCCAGTTCACCTATAAAAAATGATGGATGATTGAAACATACCAGTTGTTTAAGAATATATTCAAAATTACGTGATCAGAGCCTAATCTATGCACTAGCAAGCAGTAGTGCATAACCATGTAACAAAGCATACAAACACTTGGAAATAAGGGTAAACTCCTATTTTCAGCCTGCTTTTGAAGGTACATTGGAATACTCAACTGAAGTGCATTAGCAGAATGTAAAGACAGACCTGTAAAGCCTTTCCTGCTATTAAGGTCACAAAGGTTATAATGAAAATTTATAGGGTTTTTTAAAACAAATTCTTCTACATGTCACCTAGGCCAACAGAGATTTGATGGAGGTTGACTAAAGTTGGAAACAATTTGCATCAGTGCTCCAAAATCCTGAAAGTTTCCCTCCACTTGAACACATACATACCACTGCTATATATACACATTTAAATGACTCATGGCCCAGCAGCTGCATACCAGTCTCCAACAATTCAAATACCAATGTCTACTTCTTGCTGTTGTCTATAGTTCCTTGCTTGCTTCTTTGTTCTTTATCTGCCTGGAGAGAAAAGTCATCTACTAACTAAACTAAACTACACCTAACTAAAATATTCTTTGATGTATCCAACATTTAACTGGAAGAAATACATATTGAAGAAGAAAAACCTGAAGAAAAGAATTAGAAGGGAATCTCTCTTGGAAGACAACAGGTGATATTTGGAGGTGTATCTTTCTGTCATCAACCTTTTTTTGCTGAAGATCATAAATATGTTGGATAACCGATTATGTGATCAACACTGTTTTTAAGGAAAGACCAGCAGTAACAAACTTTGGTTTAAGTTTGTTGTATCAGACAGAATTTACAATGCTACTGACTAATGCATGAAATGTGCAGTACATAATCAGTGTTTATTGGGGTGGGGAAGCATTTTTGCCAAAAGATTAGGTAGTTATTGCTTTGATTTAAATTATACCTACAGCTGAGACAAAATTTTAATTATAATTAATTTCAATGAGTTCTCTCAAATATCGAGGAAAACGCTTTTTGATAAGCTGAGATACTATTGCCTAGTACTGTCAAAACTCTCTCTTTGAGTCTTCAGTCAAAGGAAGACAAAAAAAGGGAGACAATAAGCTGTTTCTGAAGAGAGTCAAAGGCTAACCTATTACAAATCATTCCATCTTAAGTCAAATACCTGACTTCTAGTACATCTACTCAGTTCAAAAGCTAGCAAACGAAAAAATTAATACTCCTCAAATTAAATTTAAAGGCTTTCTTACAGTTAGAATATCAACTCTGCTAGTCAATACATGCACGTTACAGGAAAACAGCAGTTTTTAAAAATGAGGTTTTATGTAATTAAAGGAAAATAAAATTTCTATGTTCAACTTACTTTTCTGCCAAGAAGAACTTTGATTACATGTCTATTTAATGTGATGGGACATAGTTCATTCTGCAACAAGCACAGTCCTAGGATTCTGAAAATAAACGTTTGAGTTTTGTTTTGGTATGACAGAAATTACATTGGAGATCTTTCAGCAAACTCACATTAAAAAGGTCAAAATATTCTAAGAATCAAGCCGCAGCTAGCTGCTTTTCAGCCCTATCAATCCCCCAAAGAACATCATGGACATATATAATTTCAAAAAAATATTTCCTGCAGTATAAAACTTTCAGATTGTAAAAAAACATAAAAGTAAAAATTCAACAGGAAAAGAAACCTCAGGTTGACATGTGCAAATTCCTCAGTACTTAGCTCCAGGAGAGAAATACAGAGCATAAAAGTAAAAAAGAAAGTTTTTGCAGCCTGAATCTCTGGTATTCCCCCTGTTTTTTTGTATATTTGTCTTTTACACTTTTTCAGACTAGAAAGTTAATAGTAGCATACCTGCCGATGTTTCTGAAACAATTCAGCCTTGCTTCTGTGTTTTTACCAGGTCTTGGAGTATAAAAACCTCGTTTTCCAGGTTGGTAGAAAAGTGGTGCATTATCATCCCCATCATCTGTATCATCTAATTCCATATCTACTACGCTGCGGCTAGAACCATGTCGCTTTCTATTTTCCTGTTTTGAAAGTCAGAATAGCAATTAACAAACTTACTTCTAGTTACTGACACATATCAACAAGCTGTTTGCTACTAGACCCAAAGATTCAAGTTCCGTTGGTTAAGAATAGCCATGATATTTCCTACTCGTAATATTTTATACTTTTGAGTAATTACTGCTTAATCTTTTCAAAAGAGAAAAGAAAGGAGAAAAAAAAAAGATAACTCCACAAGATAATTAAACAGAAATTTGTCTTGCACGATAAAGGAAGGCTCCAGTTGCTTACGTTTTTAAAATTAACTGATACAACTGAATCTTAAGTAAATTAAATTTGTGCAAAAGTTCATTACCTGCACTTTATCTGAAGAGTCTAGCAATCCAAGATCCAATATACTATCAGCACCATTCTCCCTTGACAAGGAAAAAAAGGCCGATTTAATTTCACAATCATAGAATCATAGAATCATTATGGTTGGAAAAGACTCAAAGATCATCAAGTCCAACCAACAAGGAATTATCATATTCTGAAACCAGATAGATTAGATTAAACCAAAGTCAACAAGTTACTTGTCCAAAGAAAAGTATCTAGAACAAAGCAAGGAATAATTTGCACGTATCAGAGTTACATGTAGCACAGTACAAGCGCTTTGCCCCCAAAATCAGTTTTCATTTCTTGTCTAAATCCTTGATACTTTACCTGCCATGTGCAATAATGAGTTCCATTGCTTCATCAACTCTCGCTCTAAGGGAATCTTCACTAGCTAGTAACAGAAGCAGCTGAGCAGGGGACAATTCCAAAAGCATTCCTGTGATTTTACTTGCAAATGCCTGCAGATAAGGAATTATATGTCTTACTATTCTCTTCCAGTTCTCTCATTTTCAAGTATGGTTTTATGAAAGTTCTAGTATTTTAAACATAGAATGCATTACAAGATGCCTCCTAAGCTAAATGACAAATTACAGAAACAAAATATTAAGAAAATGCCAAAGAATATAAAAACAGCCCTAAATACACCCTGAGTATTTTCTGTTATGTTAAACAATAACGGACAAGGAAGTTAACTTTTAAATTAAAAGATGACAAGAACAACGTATCATTAAGTGTATTAGGTAAGTCTTACTGGTTGCATTGCTTGCACTCGAGGGTAGAGCCTTTCTCCAAGGGCTTGTCTGTGTGCTGGAAGAGGGTCAGGGTCATCGCTAGGATTTCCTTCTGATGCCGGTCTAAAAGGCCGTGTGTCAATGGAAAGTTGTCTTCTAAAGTCCCTTAAGAACATTAGAGCAGTGTGTACTCATTTCAGAGGAAATATGCAAAAATCCTCTAGAAAAATATCATTTGCACACAGATTCAGAACAGCATTAGTTTTTATGCTGGAATAGTAGTGTTGCTCACAGCTGCTTGGAGAGAATGTTTCAGAAACAGAGAATCAAAACGAACCAGGGATTTCAATCCTGCCAGTATTTTGGATACAGCAGTCAGACATGCCACCAACGGCAATGTTGTTTCTAAACCACCTCACAATTCTATTCTAGTACTCAAGTTTATTATTATTTTAGCAGGCAAGATTGATGGCATATGGTTGAGACATAATCTATCAATGCTAAAGGATGCATAATTATTCTTTAAAGTATATATTGAATTTCAAGAAATTACCCTGTAAATTGCTCCTGAAAGTGAAAAAGACAGACACCTTTAATTTGAGGAAGCAAGAGTATCTTTCCTGAAGATAACCAAGGCAATTATTCTCTTTCACAAAGTATCACCAACAAATTAAGAATATATCACTTACCTATCCCTATCTCTCCGAGAACCAGCTCGTAAGCCACTACTTCTCCGCATTTCTCTCTCTCGTTCCCTTTCCCGATCTCTCTCTCCCCTATTTCGCAATCTCTGCATCAGACCTGAAGGAGGAAAAAAAACCAAACCTCAAGCTTAAACATCTTTATATTTCTCTCTCCTACCTAAGTTCCAGTGTAAGGTGGACACCATTTTGGAAGATAGCTTGAAATACACCAATGAGACAGAACCACTTCACTTAAAGTATTGATTGGGGTTCAGTCAAGCTTAAAAAAGGAACCAGAAGCGTTTGTACCAATTTACAAATGCTAAAAATACTTCAAGAATTTATATATACTTTAAAAACATTAAAACATATTTGTGACAAGCCAGATGGGGCAGTCATATTAAAATGTATAAGCTCTTACTAGCTAAAATCTTGACAATTATTACCTACTGGAGAGAAAGATGCTCAAAAAAGCTGAGAGCATCTAAAGCAGGCTCTTGAGAAAAACAAGAGCTTCCTGTTTCTGAAAGCAGAAAAAAAAGCCATTTCCTTGCCTCAGAGAAGTAACATGCACAATTTTCACAGTTCCCATGCTGAGCTAACAAGAGAAATCTTTGAGACAATGTCAAGTATTTCAATGTAAAAAAGCATCCAAGGCTTTTATGAATGTTATCTGTAGATAAATGCTGTGCATCACTTACTTGTATGGGTACCCTTGTTGGCATTCTGAATACAATCTAGATTTGGCAATTTCTCATTTGACAGAAAAGCCTGTGCAATAGCAGTATAAAAGCTTCGTGCTACACCGCTGCCTTCTCCTGGCTCATCCTTAAAAGTAACTTTTACTCTGTGTACAGCCATCGGCGTGGTAGCACACCTGCGACCAAAATGATTGTTGAGCTGCCGCATGGTCTGCTGAATTAGAAGATCTCTGTCTCGATCAACCTAGTAAAAACACAAAAAAGTTTTCTTTTCTTTACCAACCATCATACCGAGAGAATTTCAGCTTCACAAGAAGTTTCTGGACACTTCTGCATAGACTCAGAAAATACCAATTAGACTGTGAAAAACTACAGAGTAATTGCAACACAGCTCACAAAGTAAGGTTTAAAGACACCTGCTTGCAGACTCGGAAATGCAACTGCTTCTATCAAGTTACTGCAATGTGCAATAATTCAACTTCTAATGAAAACAAACTCAGAAGATAAACTAACATTTTTTACCTCCAATGTTAAATCTCTGGATTGCTGGTTTCTAAGTTTTTCCATCTCCCTGCGGAATTTTGATTCCTTTACTTCAAAGCCACCTAATTCAGTCAAGATCTTAAAATAAAAAAAACACAAGAAAACCAAAAACCAAAATCAGAATAATGAGGGAGGTACACAATTTAGTTGTAAGAGGAATTGTCCTTACACTGGGAAATACATACCGATCCAGGCTCTGCTCCAACATCTTCCATGAATACTCTACCGAACAACTCTAAAGAAAGGCGCCAACGTCCCAGTAACATGTCATGAGATATAACCATGCCCATGAAGCTACACTGTGGCCTGACAGAAGGAGGGAAAAAATGTCAGACAAGCAAAATCATGTTAAAATTTCAGACACATTTTGTGTATTTTTGCTTTTTCTTATGCTCTGCCTTCAAGTAAGTTCCTTTATTTCTGATAAACACCACCACAGTACAGTAAGTTTGTGGACAAAAGCACATGAAGCTGCTTAGTTTCAGCTGAAACACAAGTCTTGCTTCCAAAGAGAAATTACTCTCAAAGCATGTAACTCCACTGCTACATGGAATTCACTGTTATTGGTCTCCCTTCAATCAAGACCTTAACTTTTTTTTTAAAAAAAAAAATATTCAAAGTCAGGGCAGTTCAATCCCTAACTGCATAAAGTGTGGTCAGTATCACCAGCCACAGATGGCAAGCTATCAATTCCAATTTTTAAACTTAGCTACCCAGGCCATCACAGTAGGTCTGCAGTAGGAAGTCAGGTAGTAAAGGACTTTTACTGCAGTTTGCATAGGCCTCTTTGAAGACTGTTCAACTATTCATTTTAAAAGCTATCAAACACAAACTACAAATTCAAACTAAAGTAAGCTACCCATTTTAATTTAAAAAGACATTTAGGAGTCCCAAATATCCTTTTATCAGTTCAGTAATATTTCATAGAGTAATTTTTAACTCAAACTACCTGAAAGATGTGAGAGGTGGCCCTTCACTTTCTGTCAACCCTATCTCTGCCAACAAGCTGCTTTTCAGTTGTGCCGCAAGATCATGAGCTGAAGGCCCTGGCTTTGAACTCTCAGATTCTTCTGTAGGCACGTTTTGTTCCTCTCCTTCCTTCTTTTGCCGATTTTGCATGCTCATAACATTTTTTAAGTTGGCTGCATAAGACATTTTAGTTGGAAGAACCTACACAAGGAGAAATAAAATTTAATTGCACTTTCAAAGCAGTCTAGAAGGCTTTTTCAGGATATATATACTTATATAATATTTTTAAACCACACAAAAGCGAGCACTGTATTTGACCTGTTAAAACACAGTAACCTCAATCAATTCAACAAATACAAAAAAACCCCCCAACATTTTCCAATTTTACGTTTGCATTTCATATGCTTGCCGCTTAATGTTCAGTCTGTAGGCAAGTCAAATGTACTGGGCTATAGGGAGATTTCATTTTTTTTTTTTTTATCACAAATAATTATGTAATTGGCATTTCAAAATTAACTCTGGATGGTACTGCAGTCTTTAAAAATATTGCCTGAAATTTGCTATAAATCAGTAATCATAAAAGTTCCTACATTTAAAATAAATTCAGCATACTTTTCATTAAAAGTCCAGTTTTCGCACTTACTGGGCTTTTCAATTATCATTCTGAAAGCTACTTAAAATTCTCTCTGAAAACATTAAAATGTCTTTTTAAGGAATGAAGGTACTAGCTTAAATTACTCTATTGTTTAAAATAATAAAACTTTTAAATCTACCTCAAGGCAGTTTCTATCCACTGTAACTTCCATTAAGCATTTCCCGCTGTTGGCAGAAGATGAATACAGACCCTGACTTGGTCGGCCAAACAGATCTTCTTTGCGAGCATTTGGCTGAAAATTAACAAAAGCATTCTGGGTAAATAATATACTTCAGTTAGAAATGAAAAAGCAAACTGCAGTTTTCTTCTAAAACACCATCTCTGATGTCACCTGTAATAGATGGGGCTGGTCTGCTAGGGGAATGGCCTCTGCCAGAGGAACCTCAAACGGATTGGGTGGAATGCAGCCTAGGAACGTCATAGAGTCTGATCGTCTGAAAAATGGATGGTTTTGGCCAGTCTCTGCGGGTAGGGAGTCATCGTCTTTGTCGTTGAGTGTAGCACCTAAGTATCAGGGAAGATGTCAATTCAATTTTCACAGTTATAAAAGAAAAGGATTTAAAATATGAAAAATTAATACGCTTCCCTCTTAGCTATCTGACTGGAGAAGCATCTCTGCAAATTTAATACTTCTACAGGATGCTTCCACAAATCCCCTATTTTTATTGAGTTGCTTAGTCATCACTTTTATTCTTTTTACTGTAACTAACTTTACGGAACATGCACTCCTACACTATATGTACTTAGTATAGAGCATACATTCTACCATTTTCAGCAGCAGTTTCATTAGATCAAAAAAATCAGTTTAACTGATTCAAATTTTAAATTTTGTCATTGTGTAGAATGGCAACACAAATTCTGCAGTTTAGAGAGAAAGGAGACAAAAAGAGGGCTCCAAAATGAGAACAGGCAACGGCAGAAGAAATTTATTAAAATAACAATGGTAAGAAAATCTTACTAAAACCAACTTTAAGGTAACATATACAAGTAGCAAAATCTATTCAGAGTCTCAGCTAGCTAAAGGGGAAAAAACACTAAGAAAGTGTTGCATTTTGGCATACTATAGAAGCGTTTCTGTGTACTAACTTTGATTGGTGTCATCATCATTTTCATGTTCCGAATCTTCATTGTCAAGACCCAGTTCCAAAAGTTCCCGAGTTCTTAAAGAAAGAAAGAAAAAAAAAAAAGAGGAAAAGAGAAAGAAGCATCAATCCTCTTGAAGAAAACATTAGGCAAAACACATCTGTAGCAATCAATAAAAGCAAGAGTATAATCAGTAAGCATACTTGAGAGCTATACATAACAAGAATGAACATACTCTAAAATCAAAGTACTGTACAGTACTTCTCATTACATGCTCACTCACTACATTACTTGCACACTTACAGCCATTTGGGCACCAACCGAGTCTGATCTAAAAAGTTACAGCTTCAGACAGTGATGGGTATGCTTGTTTCTAAAGACTATGTCAGCATAAAAAAAAACCCTAGGAACCCCTGAATTAGTGGAACAAATATGTAAGTGAATACCGTTCTAAAATTTACTGGTGTAGAATATACTTAATCCTATAAAAACAGTGTCACTGATCACATTTCAGAAGGTAAGTCTGCAAGCTGCATATTAAACAAATAGATTTCACTGTATTATACAAAAGGGTCAAGAACTATGGTTAGTATTCATTTCTGGCAGTTCATGCATTGTGAAGTATGTTCTGAAACTAGATGAAGACTGATAAAATTTTGTTTCATATGGGCTGCTAAAATGTCATCTAACAGAAACAACTGACTGAATTTGAACCACTCAACCTTTAATTGAAAAGGTCTAGACCTTCATAGTTTTATAAGCATTCCATGGGAATTTTGCAATTCTCTGATCAACAGTTATTTGATGGATTTCAATATGTGAATTTTTGGGGACAAAGCAGATTGCAGAAGCATGTTATTGCCTAGAAAACGCTTAAAGCCACAGCTCTAACTACTCAAATCAGCCATCACAAAAACTCAATCAGTTACCGTATTAAATCATCCCTAGTTGTGAGGAAACCACTGTTGACAACAACATCCTCTGGTATACATTTTGAGGTCATAACAAGCCTTACGTTACCAAGGTATATTGAACATAACATTGGAACTAAAGCAGCAGTCCAATATACATCTAAAATATCGATACCTGGTATTTTACAGTTACTACTACATGTAGAGAAAATGAAGAGTTAAGTTCAAGTCATGATATTGAAAATTAGGGGCAGGAATGGGCAAAGATTTGCATTTATTTAATTGTGACTAGGACTGTTCAGGTACATTACCTCAAAACTTAGTAAGAAATGGGAACAGATGGTGTAGATTACCAACATGTGGACATTTCTATGATCATTAATTGCCATTTAAAAATCAAAGAATATTTCTTAAAAAAATTTTACAATGTTTTAAAAAGTAATAAATGCACCGTGTAAAATGCTATAGTTGACGTAGCTGTGATTTTCAACTTAAGGGCATTTTCAGCTATTGATTTCCCTACTGTGCTTTAAATCATCAGGTAAGTCTCAAATATCCACAACCAAATGGAAAACGGAACTCCTGAGGCCATCATACTAGACTATGACATTTTCTCCCATGTTATTATTAACACGTTTGACAGAATTCTAAATAAGTCATTATTCTAAATAAGTGAGGAGCAGATTGCACTTTTCAGCTGAGAAACTGGCCTGAGTACCCATGGAGTTAAAAATCAAACTCAAGTTTCAACAGTAAGAAAACCTTTTACAGCAATCAGCATAAAAAGATTTGAACAGGATACTGCAGCAGGTTTATCAATCAAACATATGTACATTATATACTATTATAAAAAAAATATATAATAAGCATGTTATTACACACACACACAGACAGGTATATGCATATATTTATATGAGTTGCTGAGTAACAACACCGACAACTGAAACAAAAGGATATATGCCACTTTTGCAAAAGTTCTTGTTTCTGACTCAGTCACGATACCTTTTCCGTTCCAGCTGAGGAGTATCCAGTGTTGTCTGTTGATTCATTGCTTTAATCCAATAAATAAGGGCTTGAAAAACG